GACTAACTCAATTTTACACAGCTTCCTCTATTAACAACCATCATGTCATCAATTTTTTTTTTTAAATAATGAAGCAGCACTTTGAGAATATGTACAAGAAGAACATTTACTTTCCATGATTCCTTCTTCCATCCCCCAAAACATGTCATTGCACTGAATCCTATGAACTTGGTAGCTGACAATGACTAAGGAGAAAGATGGCTTAGTCGGTGGACTCTCGAAGCTATCTAATATTTTGTCTTAAGTCATTTTCATTCTTTTTTGGCATTGTGATTTCCCTATGTTATTCCTTCATCTTTAGCAGCAACTATATTTAGGAGAATTAAAAGAGGTAACTATGTCCACGTTTTTTAGGAAATTAGTATAGGGAGAGCCAGAGAAGCTTAGAGAAGTAGCTCATGATATTAAAAAGGGATTACCAGAGAATAATGGTAATAATGGATATGGATGGCTTGTTATGTGCCAAGCACTAGGCAGTGTACTTTTGATGTCTTTAATCTGTACAGCAACACTATGAAATAGGTATTGTTATTATTTCTGTTTCATGACAGGGAAAGTGATGATTAGGCAGGATATTATATTAGTCCAAGGTATTTGTTATTGTTGTTGTTATGTACCGTTGAGTCTGACGCGACTCATGGTGACCCCTCCTTGGGTTTCTGAGTCAGTATCACTACCAAAGTAGATTGCCTCATCTTCCTTCCGAGGAGTGGCTGGTGGGTTGAACCGCCAGCCTTCTGGTTAGCAGTCAAGTGCCTTAGGCACTATAGCCACACGATATTAATGGAACTAGGGAGTCAAGTCCATGGAGTCCATGCTGGAACCCATGCTCTTAGGACCTATGCTATTCTGCCAGGTGTTCCAGACAATAACCGACAACCAGAACTGATTTGAGGAAAAACTTCCCTAGGAAGTCTCCAAATTATAAGCATATCTTGTTTTATTTCCCTTCACTCTATTGTGCATTGCAGGTACTACATTTTTTTTTATTGAAGGTTTGTGGCAACTCTTTGTTGAGCAAGTTTGTCAGCATCATTTTTCCAAAAAGATATGATCACTTCATGTCTCTCTGTCACATTTTGGTAAATCTCACAATATTTCAAACATTTTCATAATGTTACTGCACATTTAACAGGCTACAGTAAATTTTAAACATAACTTTTATGTGCATTGGGAAACCAAAAAAAAAAAAAAAATCTCATGTGACTCAATTTATTGCAATAATCACTTGATTACAGTGGTCTGGAACTGAACCCACAACATCTCCAAGATATGCCTGTACTTAATTGGAAAGAGTGAACTTCCAGCTTTCATGCAGAATGGGAACTCTGGTATTAAAGAAGGGTGTTGGACTCTTGAAGGCCAAGGAACTTGGATAAGTTAAAGGTAGATATGAGAGAAATTCCCTCAACTTCTTCACATAATTACCTTTCATTCAACACATACTTGTGAAGAGAGATTTGGGGAGAAGGAAAATCTGGTCTCAAAAGTTCACTAGATGGGCATAATGTGAAACATTTTAAACATTCTAATACACAATTTTCTAGCTTGGGCATTTATAGCAAATATTTTCATATTCTGACTATCACAGTCAACACTTCCTCAAGGTAAAACAAACAGCTTGGCAAAGGCCAGAATTAAAAATATATTCTACATGCCATCTGGACTGCCCTAAGATCCAAACAGGTAAATTGATATAGATGTAGTGAGGTGATTTCCCTATATTTCTCTCTGCTGAGTTTAAGTTCCAGAGTTCTATAGCTTTTCAAAACTTGGAATCCTGTTGCAAAGTTGTTCTAGGGTTTTGAAGATCCCAAGATCCCATGTGACTTATCCTAATTCTTGGTGGATGCTGAAATTGATCAATATTTGTGGGACTTTCTGAAATACCAAGGTTAACCTGGTATAGATTAGATTAGAACTTTTATTATTAAGCTTTTACTTGGTGCCAGGCATTTTACTGATGGAAGATCCCAGATGCATAGCCCGCTGTAGCAATGGAAGCCTCAGAGCAGCCCAAGGAGCTTAAACATGCTACAACCATAGCCACCTCTGATAGCAATTGGTTGTTAAAAACAATGCCTTGGCATCCCCACTTAAACTTTTCCTTTTTCTTTTCTTTTTTTGGTCATTTCTTTAATATTTACCTAAAAATACAGTTTTCACTATACCTTGCTGAAGGAAATTCTTTATACCAAAATCTACCAAATAATTAACAAGTGAAATTCCTCAGAATAAAACACATTAGTAGTAGTTTCCATAAATTCCAGACACTTTGACCCAAAATGAAGCTTTGAAAAAGACTGGTTTAAATTTACCTCATTAGTATTTGCTATAGCTTGAAGGTCTTCTTTCAACACTTTGGTTTCTGCTGGTTTTAAAAAGACTGTATTAGTTCAATTCCTGAAATAAATGTTTCAATTAGTCCAACTACGAAATTAAATCACATTCAAATCATTCAAATAATTTACACTCAGGACTCATGATTTGAAATTAGTGTTTACCTCAATCAGTGGAAAGAAGGGTCACTTTTAAAAACAGGGATTAAAAGTCTTTTTAATAAAGATTGTATAACAAATGTGCAGAGATTTTGGAAAGTAGAGAAAAAATTATGTGTAGTCCCATCATCCCCAAATACTTTTTTATTAATATGTACTAAGAGTGCTCTGGTAGCCTAGTGCCTAAGGCACTTGACTGCTAACCAGAAGGCTGGTGGTTCAAACTCACCAGCCACTCCTCAGGAGGAAGGTTGGGCAATCTACTTCCGTAGTGATAATTGCCTCGGAAACCCAAGGAGGGGCTGCTATGAGTAGGGTCCAACTCCATGGCACATAACAAACAACAACAAGAGTGCCAGGAGTCCCAGGTGGAATCAATGGCTAAGTGCTCAACTGATAGTTGAAAGGGTGATTTGAACCCACCCAGAGACATCTGGGAAGACAAATCTGGTGATCTGTTTCCAAAAGGTCACAGCCTTGAAGATACTATAGAGCAGTACTACTCTGCATACACGCACTCACTATAAGTTGGAATTGACTCCTTAACGACTATTAACCACATGAAGAGTGTCAGTCACTGTGGTAAGTGAAAGGAATACAACAGAAAGCAGCAAAGTTAAGGTCCTTGCCTTCCTGAAGTTTATCATCTAGAGGAACAGACAGACCACCAAGCCTACAAATACAACACTATTCTATCAAAATAAAATAAAAATGGGACTCTGTGCATAGCAGGCTATGGAAGCACATAAGAGTGTTATCTGATGCAATCTTGTGTGTTTGTGGTATATCAGCAAGGCCTCCTTGGGGAAGAAACTGAGATCTAAAGGATATAAGGAGTTAGTCCTATGAAATGAGCAGATGGAGAGGGGAAGATGTTTAGATGTTTCTAGGGAGAAGTAACAGTAAGTGCAATGGCTCAGAAATGAGAGGATACTAGATTACAGTAGGTGAACCATAAGTGGTATGGTATGGATAGATTTCAGAGAGGGAGGAGGAGGAGTGACAGATGGTAAAGGAGCAGATGGTAAAAGTGTCAATACATCCCATTAATGCTTAATGTTAAAGTCGGTGTGAACTCGTGAGACAATTTTATTTTCATATGTATGTCCTTATAGATTTAAAATTATGTAACTGTAATATCATAAAGATATAATTCACCTAAAATTAACATTATACCAGTAACTATTTCACTTAATGTAATATTATTGGTATTTTCTTTGACATATATTATTGATATGTTTTCTAGCTACTACATGGAAGATTAATTTTTTAATGCCTATATAATATCCAATCATTTTGATTGATGTGTAAATTTAATTAAACATTCATTTATTATTAAATATTTTGGTTATTCTACCTTGCTATTCTTATAAATCATGCTCAATTACTTTTATTCTTTTATTTCATTTCTTAAGCATAAAGATCTAGAAATAAAATTATTTAATAAATGCTATAAACACTTCCATGGCTTTTGGTATCTTTCAATAAACTTCTTTTGTTTATTTATATTAGTACCAACAAAGTAAGAATATATATCATTTTTGCTACAGTTTTTAGTCAAAGAATATTATAACTCTTTAATAAAACACTATCTGACTGCTAACCAGAAGGCTGGCTGTTCATACCCACCAGCCACTCCTTGGAAGGAAGACTGGGCAATCTACTTCTGTAGAGATACCGCCTCAGAAATGCAAGGAGGAGTCACTTTGAGTCAAATCAACTCAATGGCAGTGAGGTTTTTTTTTTTTTTCCAATTCTGTTTTTTTAATTTCTCTTTCTTTAAACATTAGCAATGTTGAGCATATTTCCACCTTTTACTTTTCAATAAACTTCTCTTATGAGTTGCCCTTGCTTATCTATTGATTGGCAATAATTTAATGACACTCAGATTTTAAAAAAATAATTTCTATACTTCTAAATCTATAGCATTGCTTCCCCTTTTGTGAAATGATAAATATTAAATTGTATTATTATTACTTATCCCATAATTTAATTCTGTACCATTTGATTTTTAAGTGTAACCCAAATTTATTTTCCAAATATTAATCAATGACTTAATAGTAGTTTTGAAATAATTATTTGTATTAGGATTGGAGCTTCATTGTGTAAAATTCTTGTAAATAATTGTTTCTTTCTAGGTTATCCATTCAGTTCCAATAATTTATATATGTGTTGCTCAGACAGTTTATAGCAATTTTCAATATTACAGCTATATAAAATATTTTTATTTTGGAGAAAATCCAGTAATTCCTTTATTGATCTTTAAAAATTTTATTTTGACAACTATGCATGGTCTTTTAGATAAAATGGAGAATAATTTCTAACTAAAACCTAGATATTATCAGTCTGAACTCACACATTAGGTGTCAAATGTGGCAGTGAAAGGGTTCCTCAAAACTCTAGGCAGAATACCTATAATAGTTTCCAAATACATACACGGCTATTTTATAAAGGAAAAGGAAGTTTTCAGAATTATTTAACGAAATAAAACTCACCTAACAATTATGGTGAAAGAGAATGGGTACATGAAGGTACATACTTTTTAGTATACCATTTGAATTTTTTCCTATCAATTGAAGTTTGAAGAATCATTATTTTTGTGAAATTTTCAGTGCCTTGTATCTGAAAGTTGACAGAATACCAATTAATTTTTGAGCAAGTATTGTATGAATAAATATTTCTCTGATCAGTTACCATCTTAGTCCGTGTCCAGACATTTGGGAGAATATTGAAAATACCAGCCAATCACCCAGACATATATCTTACAATTCCTTTGGTTTTGTGAAAGTCAACATTACACATACTTTCTTTAAGTTTTTGAATATTTTACTTATTTCTCTTCCAAATGAGAAAAATAATCGAGTTAGTCATCAACGGCCTTTTAAAAAATCACCCATAGTGTTTTTCTACATGGCAAAAGGAAAATTTAAAAAACAATAACCCCTGCGTTGGAAATGATTCTAACTCATAGCGAACCTTTATGACAGAGTCCAACTGCCCCACAGGGTTTCCAAGGCTGTAATCTTTATGGAAGCAGACTGCTACATCTTTCTCCTGTGGAAAAGCTGCTGGGTTCCAACCAATGACTTTTCATTTTGCAGCTGAGCATTTAACTACTGTGCCACCAGAGAAATAATTCTACTTTATAGTTGTTTTTAATATACATTGACTCACATTGGTACCTAAATCCACCATGACCAGGAATTCTATGACTAGGGGAGTGGGCAAAGCTGGGCAGGTGTCATACAACTCTTGCTTGACTGTGTAAGTTCCCATCCAGCACCCAAAACAAAGCTCTACAATTGTGTTCAATAGTGGAGATAGGGGACAACATCTTAGAAATAATTCACTTCCTTTCATTGGGCATTACGTTAGCACTGGTGCCTCCCACTTAGGAAATATTCTTCTGATTGTTTCTCACCTCAAGATTCCTCCCATTCTAAGGAATTGTTGATGTGAGAATTGGTAAAAAGACTGGAGAGTGGCAGCATGTGTAACCTCATAGGAATAAGCCTTGGGCTGTTGAGGTTGACTCTATTTCCCCCTTGTTAGGTTGGAGGAAATTAGAGGAAGATGCTGCCCCTACTTCCTTTAACACCCTTCCTGAATAACTTTCACCCCACCATATACAAATATACTTTTTTTAAAAATTAAAAAAAAAAAAAAAGATTCCTCACATTCACTTCACTTTTTTCTTGTGTCCTCAATATACCTGGAAAGTACGTTTATCATACCTCTAAACATTTTCTTAATATATTAATATATTTATTTATTTCCATTTGGATGTGAAATCTCTTGAGGGAAGGTTGCAAGTCTCTTTTGTTTTCATTTCTTCAGCTAGATACAGTTTCAGATAGCATTATTTCTGTCATATATTCCAAAAAACAAACTCAATGCTGTTGAGTTGTATGCGACTCATAGCGACCCCTCTTTGGGTTTCCGAGGCAGTATCACTACGGAAGTAGATTGCCCACTCTTCCATCTGAGGAGTAGCTGATGGGTTTGAACCGCCAGCCTTCTGGTTAGCAGTCAAATGCCTTAGGCACTAGGCTACCAGAGCTCCCCTGTCATACACTAGCTGCTTTAAAAAATACGCTTAATTTAATTATCTATAGATGACTTGTTGTTGTTGTTATGTGCCATCGAGTCGGTCCCGACTCATAAGGACCCCTCCTTGGGTTTCTGAGGTGGTATCACTATGGAAGTAGATTG